ATTGATTTCAATGGGTTAAGAAGGGTATAACTTGGTTTAGGATTGTCCTCCTAGCTAGCATCATGGACTGATTAGCAGCTGTTCACCAGGGTCTCATCTAGAGGTGTTTCCTAGCTCTGAGGGCTTTCAACTAAAGAATGGGTCCTTATACATGAAAAGAACATGCTCTAGTACTGAGCGATGGCTCTTCTCTCTATAGCAATTCCCAAGGAGCCCTGCTATCTGGAATCCTTTGTGTTGCACTGCCGGGAATTAAACCTGAGACCTCATCCATGAAAAGCACTTGCTCAGGAAGCACAGTTACTTAGGAGCAACTAAAGAAGGGTTTTAACCTGTGCTCTTGTGTGTGCAATACACATGCTCAAGTACTACGTTATGGCCCCTCCCTACATAGGAATTCTCAAGAAGCCCTGCTATCTACAGCTGCTGGGGATTGAACCTGGGACCTTCCGCACACAAAGCACATGACTGAACTACGGGACAGCACCAAGAGCCTATGCATAACCCGGCTCCCATCCAAGTGCGACTCAAAGTCCTGCTGCCTATGCCACATGTTCACTACTTAGGCACACTATGCAAGCCACAGTTGTGGGTGTTTGGGTGTTAAGGGCCATCAAGTTGCTTCCGACATATGGCAACCCTACGAATTAATGACCTCCAAAACATCCTGTCATTAACAGCCTTGCTCAGGTCTTGCAAGCTGAAAGCAGTGGCTTCCTAGACTCAGTCAATCCAACTCATGTTGGGTCCTCTTTTCCTGCTGCCTTCACCTTTTCCTAGTTTTATTTGGCACTTTCACACACACTAAATAACGCACTTTCAATCCACTTTCAATGCACTTTGCAATGGGATTTTCCTGTGTGAAATGGTAAAAGGCACTTGCAAACAGTCGCTGAAGTGGATTGAAACTGCATTACTTAGCATGTGTGAAAGCATAACAACAACAACAACAAGAACAAGAATAATAAGAATAAGAATAATAAGGATGTCTAAACCACCCTCCCCCGAAAGGCTCAGGGTGGTGTACATCATATTTAAAATACAGTTCAGTTAAAAACATTCCAAAGTATAAATTAATTAAATTAAAACCCAACCATCAGTCATGTTGTTCAGTAAACCAGTGAAACCATTAACCTGCAGTCCTAGATGGCATTCTGCATGTGGTTGCTTCCTCCAAGGGGCAGGGTCCTGGGCCGGATTAGATGGGAAATGATTGCTGTCCTCAACCATAGGCTGGTGGGACGTCTCTGTTTTGCACACCCTGCAGAACAGATGTCACCAGGTAGGGAGTTCCACCAGCAGGATCCGGGGCCAAAAAAGCCCTGGCTCTGGTTGAGGACAGCCGGACATCTCTTGGGCCTGGGATCACCAGCAGATTTTGACCTTGTGAGACTCTAGGGAGTCTTGTCTTCTCATGTGACCCAAGTACCATAGCCATCACTAGCTTTATATATAATGACAGAGCCCAAGGTTGCAGATCTGCACATTGTTCTGCTGTTTGAACCCATTGTGGCCAAGCTATGCGCAGGTCAGGACAGTGACTCAGCTTCCTAGGGTATGGTTGGAGAGTACATGAAAACTGCTGAAGGGAGGCAGGTCTGGGTCTGATCAGTGCCTGCATGGGAGACCTCAGGGCAATCCTGTGCAAGCTGTCTCAAGTGCCAAAGTGGTAGAAACAGCAGGATGTAAGCATCATAGATAGGAAGGAAGGAAGGAAGGAAGGAAGGAAGGAAGGAGACAAAAAGACAGTTAATTCCTTTGAAATGTGGCACTGGAGGAGAGTTTGAAGGATACTGTGGGCCACCAAAAAGACAACCGAGGCCTGGGTTCGGTCACAGAGACCTGAGCCTTGCTGCACATGAGGTACAAATGGAAGTAAATAAAAGAAATGCAGCAGACAATGGCCAGATACTGGAGGACAGAGCTGAATCTGCTAACTATTGAATCTGCTAACTATTTTGTACCTCTGGCCACTGTCTCCTGCATTTATTTATATATTTGCTTCATTTTATACCTCACCTTTTCCCCCCAAAGAGGACCCAGTGTGACTTACTTAATTCTCCATTCTATCCTCACAACTGCCCTGTGAAGTAGGTTTGGCTGAAAGAAGCTCTTATCAGAACTACGGCTTGCCCAAGGTCATCCAGCAGGTGCAAGTGGAGGAGTGGGGAATCAAACCCGGTTCTCCCAGATTAGAGTCTGTGCACTTAACCACTACACCAAACTCTCTCAGACAATAATGCTAGGGAAAGTCAAAAGCAGCAGGAAAAGAGGACCTGATAAAGGCAACAACAGGACGTTTTAGAGGTCATTATTTCATAGGGTCACCATAAATTGGAAGAGGCTTGACAGCACTTAACACACACAACGAATAAGCATAATCAACGGTAGATCCGAACAAAAGTTTCCTCCCTTATTAAAAAAAGCCCTCTGATTTAAACCATTTATTATTGTTCAATAATAAACTATTAACTGGGTAGACAGGAAGAGGACGAATCTAGCAGTGCCTTGTGTCTGTCTGGGAAGGTGCTAGGGAAGATCTTGCTAGTTAGCAGCAGCTGAGTAACATCTCTCTGAGGCTGCTTTCCTCTCTGCACAGAGAGATTTAAGTCCTGGATATGCCCAGAGGCACGAGCCCTTGGGCATAAGCCAAAGGGCTCCTGTCCATCAGCTGTTAGCTTGAGGGTCAGAACCTGGAGCTGGGCAGAAGATCAGATGGTGTAGAGAGAAGCCCCACTTAGCAATCGGAAGTTTCCCCGTTCTTTCTTGTTTGTCGCGGTACCCAGGGCCATTTTTGGGCAGGAACGCACAGGAACGGAGTTCCGGCTGGCTTCAGAGTTGGCCACGCCCGCTACAGCCAAATCCTCTCTAGGAAGGCCTAGAGAGCGACCCCCTGATGACTCTAAGGTGGGCGGGCCAGGGGGGGCCTGGAAGGATCAGGGAGGCATTTAAATGCCTCCCCCAGTCTGTCCAAGGGGCGGTTTGCCCGGGCTCCCCAAGGGAAGGCATGGGGGTGTGGCCTAATATGTCAACAAACTGTGCTGTCGGGTGTGGCCTAATATGCTAATGAATTTCTTCTGTTGGGTGTGGCCTATTATGCTAATGAGTTCCTGCTGGGCTTTTTCTACAAAAAAAAAGCCCTGGCGGTACCTATTTTTACTCTGCATTGTTAGGTGTTTTGGGTCCCCACTGAGGAGAAAAGAAGACTGAAATTTACGCAGCAAACAAAGCAATAAGGTTGCTATTGGTCATCCTTTATAGAAAATATTTTGCACAGGAGAAAGGCAACTTTAGAGCGAACAATGTGTCCATGATCTTCAGGTGATTCATGGAGGCCTTATGGGTGATTACTAGCCAGGCTGCAGACAATGGTAACTGCGGAAATAAAAATAAAAGCTGTGTGTGGGGGGGGGAGACTTCCTCATCCTGGCAAGGAGTGGCTGTTAGGGTGCAAACAATAGCAAGACCCCATGAGTGGGTGTGGCATTTAAATTACTTTCCTTGGGAGGGAGACCTGGTAATAATAATTATTATCGTACGGCAATAGGTATAGTATAGCCAGGAGTTCCGAAGATCGTCTGGCAGCCTGAAACTCTAGCTCTTTCTGTGGTGAGTTAGGTTCCATGTGCCTTGTTCTGTGCACCTCAGCGTCTAGTCATGCCGGCCACGTGACCATGGAAACATTTCCGGACAGCGCTGGCTCTTCGGCTTGGAAACAGAGATGAGCACCACGACCCTAGAGTCGGATTCGACTGGCTTTCGAGCAAGGGAAACCTTTACGTAGGTTTATTGGGGGGGGGACTGGGAGAACTATGACTGGCCCAAGGCCACCCAACTGGCTCCATGTGGAGGAGTGGGGAATCGAACCCAGTTCTCCAGATTAGACTCCGCCACTCTTAACCACTTCACCAAACTGGCTCTCAGAGATCTGGTATCTCCGTTCGACAGGGATCCTTCCCATAAGCACTACCACCTTGCCAATTTGGACTAAGGATTGTTATCCCCAGCCTTTGTTTAGATAGTATTTTTAATTTGCAAAAATGCTTTCTTAATCTAGTTCACTCTTTGGAACTACTCCTCAACGTAGGCTTTTATGTTCCCATTTAATCGAACAGGACTTGAGGCTGAAAGCTGGTAACATGCCAAAAGGCACTCAGATAAGTCTCTCTCTCTTCCTGTATGCTAACAGTGGAAGTATACAGTTACACCTTTAAAATTTATAGAAGTCAATGGGATTAGAAAAATTAACCCTGTTTGGGATCAAACTGGTGATTTCCCAGTGACAGAGAAGGGAAGGCATACTTCTCTCCACACCTAGCTAGCAGCCCAGAACGAAGTCTGAAAAATAGGTAAATAAGTTTTAAGGGTCTCTGGGAACATGCCGAGTGATTTTTCTTTAGCAATCACAACCTAATGCAATGCATTTTAAATCAAAGAGTAATGAGTCCAGGGCAACACAGCATAGCCTTCATGCAAGCTTCAGTCTCGGCACTTCTCTTATTAGAAATTAAACCTTGTCTGGTTCCTGAAGCTGAACTGCCTTTCTCTTTCACAGAACTCTTCTCCTCCCTCTCGCCACCAGCCCTTCTCAAAAATACTTCTACCTGCACAAGCCTGGAAGAAATTTTCGGTCTCTCAGCAACATCACCAAACAAGGCTCTCGGCTTCTACCCAGGAAATGGAAGGTAAGAACAAACTTTTAAGGCTTCCTCTGGAAATCAGAAACAAGACAGGCTTTCAATGCACGGGGATTTCCTCCAGACAGGGGGAGAGGTCTGTTATTGTAATAACACAGAGAGGATGCCCTCCCTGAAAGCAAACAACCCAGTCTAGGATGCTGATTTCCGATTCTGCAGAGGGAAGGGAAACAGCCCCAGCTCCTGGTGTGTGCAGAGCCTTGGGAGAAGGACAAAGTGGTCCGACTGCAAGTGAGAATTAAGTTGGCAAAGCAGGAGAGAGGCACTGTGAAGAGAGCATCAAGACTGGTTTCAGATACTCACCCTCCGATAACAAGGAGAGGTCCTGTGGCTCTGCAGTCAAGTCCTTGCCTCCTATTCCAATCCTGGGGAGGATCCAAGAGAACAAGGCAGGCGGCCCCCAGCTCAGCAGGAGCTGTCCATGGTGTATGGCTTCTGAAGGGGCTCGTGTCTCACACAAGCCGCCTTCGCCACACCCACTTCCCTCCTGCACCACCTGCCACTGCTGACCTCCATCCCCCCGCCTCTCAGCGTTCAAGACTGCAAAGTCGATATGGTTAATCATTACAGCTTAGCAAAGTGCTCATCGATCTGATGGGTGGGCGGGTGGGAGTGCGTGTGGCAGGAGGACTGAGATATTTGCAAGGATCCTAGGGGAGTGCCATGCATTTAGGGCTGCTGTGTGCACAGACATAGTACCCCCACCCCCTGAGGTTCCTGCCTGTCTATGAGAGCTGGACTACCCACTGACAGAGGTGAAGACCAGGTCTTGCCCTTGCTGCAAGAATATCCCCCCCCCCATACTTTTGTTCTTCCCTACAGCAGTGAATGACAGCCACGTACGTTTAAGGAAGGAAGTGGAAAGGTGCATTTGGTCATGTCACGGGAGCTCGAGGGAAACCTGATCTCTGCTGCTGGTGCTCCCAGTGGTTAAGGTTCAAGCTTGCTCTTACATAGTCTGTCAACGGCAGAACCCCATCCTGGATCCTTTTTTTTGCAGTACAGTCTCTAAGCAGCTGGAGAGCCAGCATGGTGTAGTGGTTAAGAGTGGCAAGCTCTAACCTGGAGAACTGGGTTTGATTCCCCACTTCTCCATGTGAAGCCTGCTGGGTGACCTTGGGCCAGTCACAATTCTCTCAGAACTCTCTCAGCCCCACCTACCTCACAAGGGTGCCTGTTGTGAGGAGAGGAAGGAAGAAGAAGAAGAGATTGAATTTATACCCCGCCCTTCACTTGGAGTCTCAGAGTGTCTTACAAACTCCTTTCCCTTCCCCCTCCCCAGAACAGACACCCTGTGAGGTGGGTGGGGCTGAGAGAACTCTGACACAAACTGCTCTTTTCCAAGGACAGCTGTGCCAGAGCTTGTGACTGACCCAAGGTCACATCAGCAGGTGCAAGTGGAGGAGTGGGGAATCAAACCCGGTTCTCCCAGATTAGAGTCCGGACACTTAACCACTACACCAAACTGGCTTACAAGGTGATTGTAAGCTACCCTGAGACTCCTTAAGGTAGAGAAAAGTGGGGTACTAAAAATTACTCTTCTTCTAAGGAGAGCTACACTGTTGAACATCATTGTACATCATTCTGAAGGAGGAAAGGTGGCCCTGGGGCCAAATCAGGGCCCAGAGGCATACCGGGCGGTGGTGCAACTATATATTCAATCAAGTAGCAGGAAAAACGCTCACAGTTTTGCTTGAAAGAAACTTGAGTAGTGTCTCTAAGGTAGAGTGTGCCACTGAACTGTAGCCAACTCATGGCAACCCCGTGATGTTCCACCTCATGGGGTTCTCAAAGCAAGAGATGAGCAGAGGTGGTTTGCCCTTCCCTTCCTCTGCATAGCAGCCTCAGTCTCCCTTGGTGGTCTCCCATCCAAGGACCGACCCTGCTTAGCTTCCAAGTTCCGATGCAATCGGGCTAGTCTGGGCTGTTAGAGCTGCCGTAAGCAGTGTGTCTAGCGTTCTCATATTGAAGTATTGCATTCTCATACATATTTCAGATAAGCAAAGAACTACTTTTGATCTTCCTCTTGGAAACTCAGCTGTTCCACAGCCTCCTGACCCATTAATGCCTGAACCGTTCATGCACATGTGCTCTGTCTCTGAAAATCACATCTTCCTTTGACAACGCCAGTTTTTAAAAGAGAGAGCCAATCCATCTCTGCATAGGGCACCCCCCCCCAAGGTAATGTGTGGAGAACAATGTGGCTTCCAAGTGTTCTGTCACAAAACTCATAGAGTTCTCAAGAGATCTTTTGTTCAGGTAGTGATCAGACCCAGACCTGCTACGCAACAGCAAGGTTGATGTATGGCATGCTCAGTTTGAGAGCCAGTTTGGTGTAGTGGTTAAGAGTGGTGGACTCTCATCTGGAGAACTGGATTTGAATTCCCCTCTCCTTCACATGCAGCCAGCTGGGTGACCTTGGGTCAGTCACAGCGCTCTCAGAGCTCTCTCAGCCCCACCTACCTCACAGGGTGTCTGTTGTGGGGAGAGGAAGGGAAGGCGATTGTAAGCTGTTCTGAGACTCTGAGTGAAGGGTGGGGTATAAATCCAACTCTTCTTCTTCTGTACTGGGAGAAGCCCCCTCTCCTTTTGAGTGTGACAGCATGTTAGGAACTAACTTTTTGGGTTAAGGCAAGTGAGGCCTTCGGCTTAAAACACCTATTGGGCATTTCACATATTTGTGTATTTCTGACACAACGTCTCTGCAGAGAAGCCTATTGTAACCAGCAGCACATATGCATGTAACTGAAATAAATCTTTATTATTCCCCTGATAATCCCTGCCCTCCACATTCTACCCTTCCTTTTGTGGTCTCCCTTATGCCAAATGTTAAGATGTAAACTCCTTGGGGCAGAGGTCTATGTTCTTGTACTCTATAAAGCACCATGGCACCTGGATGGCAAATGTATAAATAATCACTGAGATACTGGTATGAAACTTTGTATGCACATTTTATGGTGTAGTTGTACAACAACCTGACCCACTCCCCACCCATACCCATTTTCAAAGGGAGAAGGAAATGCAAAATACAATGCAATCTCTACTTTCAGGAACTGACCTATTGGAATGAAAGGTGGTACATATGATCGGAACAACATTCTAGGTTTAAAGTTTGGCTCTTTGATCTACTTCTACACCTTTTCCAGAGGACCAGGAAAGATATAGAGCATGTGATAAAGTGTGCATTGAAATAGTGGAATGAAATTCAGTGTGTACATTTTACGGCATAATTAGCTGTTTTAACTTCAAGCGCTTGGTTAGCCATGCCTTCGTTATCAAGTAGGAGGAGGAAAATATGCAGACTAGAGGGTTAATATGACAGCTGGACTCTTGAACTCTGTCCTTTCCTGACATTTAGCAAGATGAATGAAGCTGGATTTCTGCAACATTTCTGACTGCTACTGGAGCTGCTCTTTTCCCATATCCAAGTCTGAAGAGGCAAGGAAATTCTCACAGCCCAATATGCCATCCTGCTTGTGGCTTGACTTACTTCATGCTGCAATAAAAATGTAGCTCTTGAGGTAAACGTTATGCCCCAAGTTGTGCCTCTTAGGTGCAAAAATACCATTTTCTCAGCTTTCTCTACAAATCAGTGTGTCTTGGGTCTAATCTACCTACGGAGCAGAATGAGGCAGTAACAAGATGGCCACCCATACCCATTTTCAAAGGGAGAAGGAAATGCAAAATACAATGCAGTCTCTACTTTCAGGAACTGACCTATTGGAATGAAAGGTGGTGCATATGATCGGAACAACATTCTAGGTTTCAAGTTTGGCTCTTTGATCTACACCTTTTCCAGAGGACTAGGAAAGATATAGAACACGTGATTAAGTGTGCATTGAAATAGTGGAATGAAATTCAGTGTGTACATTTTACGGCATAATTAGCTGTTTTAACTTCAAGCGCTTGGTTAGCCATGCCTTCGTTATCAAGTAGGAGGAGGAAAATATGCAGACTAGAGGGTTAATATGGCAGCTGGACTCTTGAACTCTGTCCGTTCCTGACATTTAGCAAGATGAATGAAGCTTGATTTCTGCAACATTTCTGACTGCTACTGGAGCTGCTCTTTTCCCATATCCAAGTCTGAAGAGGCAAGGAAATTCTCACAGCCCAATATGCCATCCTGCTTGTGGCTTGACTTACTTCATGCTGCAATAAAAATGTAGCTCTTGAGGTAAACGTTATGCCCCAAGTTGTGCCTCTTAGGTGCAAAAATACCATTTTCTCAGCTTTCTCTACAAATCAGTGTGTCTTGGGTCTAATCTACCTACGGAGCAGAATGAGGCAGTAACAAGATGGCAGACTTCTGAGGTGGCTGAACAGGTGGTATGACCACTTCAGGCTGCAGTGGAGACATTACATTTTTCAAAGGTCCCCTACATTCAAAATCCCTTGTAAGTGAAGAAGTGGTACTACATGTGAAAGGCAGGGATAGCTCCTTGATGTACTATTTTTTCTATTTGCCCACTGTTTGCTTAGCATTAAGCAGTCTTTTTCTCCAGGGGAACTGATTATTGTTGTCTGGATTATTGTTGTAATTCCAGAAAATCTTGAGGTCCCACCTGGTGGTTGGCAGACCTACATATAATTCACCTGTGCAGCCCACCCCCATTGCTTGCCCATCTGTCCTCCCCCCCATCTCACCTCTTTGCAATCTCTTCCCCCACCCATGAGGGCTGGCAGCAGAAGCCTAGGACTTTAGCAGTTGCCCCACCTTGGGGTATGCTGACACCAGTCCTGGCCTTAGTCCTTTTGGGTTACAGTTGTTGTGCACACACAAGAGAAAGTCTTATAGATGTCTCACTTTTAAAGTAATCAATGTGTCCTGGACTATCAGTGTACACAGATTATCAGTTTCCAGTGGCTTTTTTGCCATGTGGCTGCTTGGTTATCTGTATTTCCAGAGGAACAAGGTACAAGGGAGAGTCGTTTATTTGACCTTTTAGATCTCTAAATGATCAAATAAACTACTTTCCCTTTTCCCTTGTTTCTCCTTTTATTCTCCGGCTTACTGGTGCAGCCTTATTTTCTTCCTGGTATCTGTATTTCCACAGGTGGTATAGTTTACTTCGGCCGCAGATTCTCATGGATGGTGAATTTGGGGGGACATAACCAAGGGATTGGAAGCTGCGGTGGCTCAAGTGGTTAAGACGCTGAACTGCAGGCTGTGGAAGGTCAGTAGTTCAGCAGTTCGAGACCCGAGTTGCCGCATGACGGAGTGAGCTCCCATCTCTAGTTCCAGCTCCTGCCAACCTAGCAGTTTGAAAGCAAGAAATTGCAAGTAGATAAATAGGGACCACTTCGGTGGGAAGGT